ATCATTTGATAAATATTCTCCCCCGGAGTCTGACAATAAGATTTTTATTTTGGTATTAAACTGAGTTGCAGCCATGGATAAAAATGTTTTAAAATGGGAGAACACTTCTGATTATGGAGCATAAAGTATATCCAGTTATAGCGTGTACAATCAACAATGAACAAAACAAAATACTTATATCTCATTCTGGATAAAATTGGAGCAGGACCCCACACATCACTATGAATGAGATGGAAGGTACAGTTGTTTTATCTACTCGAGTCAAAAAAGGTAAATTGGTGTTTTTATTCAAAGAACAACTAATACAAGATTTATTGAAAGAATTCAAATCCAGTGCTTTATTTGGCAATGAACCAGAACGAAATAAAGTATGTAATTTATTTGCATTCGGTTGACCAAGTCTCCAATGCCACCTGTGCCAGTGTTTATTGGAAACGGAAAAATCAGAATTCGATGGAGAAAAGAAAGAAGTATAATGGTTTGGTTTCTCAAACTCCAAGGCAAACAAATGACCAATTCTACGCCCCTTCCCTGTCACTCTCCTAGTGTGTTGGCCCTGTATTAGACAAGCATCACGAGAAAATTGAACATTGTAACCATCATCAATTAGTTAGGCCACAAATACTACATTAGCAATTAATTTAGGAACGAAGAGGATATTGCGTAAATGAAAAGGTGTACCATGGGAGATAAAAAGTGAAAGATTATCAGTACCAATAATATTCAGTTTCTCCCCATTAACGATGAGAATCTGACTATCACCTTAGTATGGTTTAGTAGATGCTGGACTTGTGTGCACTCTAGTCATATGATTAGAGGTACCTGAGTCAATAAACTAAAGGGGACTTACACTAGGGGATAGGTGAGAGTTTATACCAGACAAGCCCATAACAAAGAAAACAGAAGAGATAGTTGTAGATACGGAGTTTTGTACCAACTGTCGACTATCATCTGATGTCTGGGATATTGTCATATTTGGGTCACGAATAGTACTGGATGAAAGGGTCTCTACTTTTAGTCCCTTGAAAGCATCATTAGCAGTTTGATATGCCCTATACAAAGATCTTCGTGTATGCCCGATTGCCTCATCGAGAAAGATTTCGACAATCTGTGATAATATGCCCAACACGTTTACAATAAGCACAAATTTATTTCTTCTTACACTAGGATGCTATATAACAATATTCTTTACACTCATAACATTGCAACAAATATGGAACCTTTTGCGATAGTGTTCCTCTAGCCCGTTGAGCTACAAGTACAGACTCTATATCCTTCTTTCCCTCAATGGTGGCTTGGGTAGTGATTCTTGTTTCCTCATGAAGTAATTCACCGAGAATAACATCCATATGTGCTACTTTTCGCAATTCAAAATATAGACTCAAACAATCTCATAGTCGAGGCGCAACTTCATCAAAAACTGCATCACCTTCCTATCACCATTTATATCCATTAAACTCTGAATGCAACAAGCACTAGTGATAGCCTTCAAGTTTACATATTCATATTTTGTCCAAAAATTCATGAAACTAACATAATATTTCTGAATGGTTTTCTCCCCTTGACTATAGGAAAACATATCATACTCGATTTAGAAACGTCTTGCAAGATTTGATTGCTGATAAATTTTTTCCAAATATTCCTGAATGGTTCTCCCCTTGACTATAGGAAAACATATCATACTCGATTTAGAAACGTCTTGCAAGATTTGATTGCTGATAAATTTTTTCCAAATATTCCTACATTTCTTTCGTAGTATGGAAGCCTCTCATTGGCCTTCCAATAATCAAATATACAGAGCCGAAGATCCATGAGATAATTTTTGCATTGTTGGGTATCTTTAGTATTGAGTGTAGCCAGTTCAGGTTCAGTGTCATTAACATACCTCCACAAACATTTCCCTTCAACAAAAAATTGAAAATGAAACCGTCAATCGGGATAATTTTTCCCATCAAGTTTTATAGCCAATACATCTCTTTTTTCAGAAGCCAAGTGTAAGTTGTATTAGAACTCACGGGTAAAGAGATCCACCGAATAAAGCTTAACATAAACGAAGAGAGAGAAAGTACAGATCTGATTCCGAAAAAGGATGTACTTTTTTTTTTTTTTGGTGAGTTTTGCAAGCTCGCTGTGGTTTCTATGCGATAGCGAGGTTTCTACTTCTCCAGATCGTGATGGGGCGAAAGAGGAAACGGAGGCTTTGGAATTAGTGTTGTTTCATGTGAGCGAGTGCTATGCATATCTGATACCGCCAAAGAAGAGTGCAGCTTCTTACAGGGCTGACGATTGGAATGGAAATAAATAGGCTTGGGGGGGTTCATTGACAGTCATCAGCAAAGGAGAGGAATGTATAAGTAGACTTGAGGAAAGGGGAGCCACACCAAGTGGAGCCTGTAATAGACATCAATAGATACTTTGTTCTAAGAGTTGAAGAAAATTTTGGTGGTCGCGTGTGGCATGCATTCCTTGGAATAGGTTTTCGGGAAAGGCCTCAAGCTTATGACTTTCAAGCTGCTCTTCATGATCATACAAAATATTTGATGGTTGCAGGGCACAATGTGGGAGAGTGGACTTAAGGTGATTGGTATAACGAATCAGAGGGAGGCAACTTGGCCGAAACTTTGTGCCGGATAGTGGCTGATTTTAGGTTTGAAGCTTCTTCTTCTTGCGGTATGGCTTTGATACCATGTTAAACTTCTTAATCTTCCAGAAAAATTATTGCATATTGATTAATTATCAAGAATATACAAAGTCCCCTCTACATATAAGGCTAATCAGTTATCGATAATAATGAACTAATCCAGTCTTATCAAGAGAGTGCTAATCAGTTATTGATAACTATCTATATCTACTCGACTATCTCTATCTCTACACGGCTTACATAAAGGAAAAAAGTTTATATAAGTGTGAGGCTCTAAACAATCAAATTAATTCTTCTTTTTCTTCTACACGCCCCTACCCATTTTTTCAAATGAATTAGGGAGTTAGCTTTTTGAAATATTAGTGGGGTGGTGTTAGTGGTGAGAATGAAAACCACAATGTGGTGACTTGGGCATGGGATGCTACCACCACGACATTTCAAAAGTGCACCTTAATTTTACATTTTAAGATGTCAACCTTAAGGAATCAGGCTTGGGTAAAGATGGCAGAGGTTGCGTTTTCATAACACAACATATCAAGTTCAATAAATTTCTTCCCTACTTAGAAAGTAAATCAATGGCATTAGACGAAGATTGGCAAGAAAGTCGATCATTGACAGGATAAAAGGTAAAATGTTCATTTTGGATCGAAGCTATTAAAAATTTTATGCGTATTTGCCATGCTACTGAATGATGGACTAGTATTTATGTTGCCAACCCCAATTAATTGAAAAAAATTGCTGATAATTATGATGATCTGCCACAATATTGCTGATAATTATGATGATCTGCCACAATATGAGACCTACCTAACCTAACCCGAGAAACAAACAAGCACATGACAAGCACCAGTTACTTCTTCCCATGTAAAGAAAGCACAAAGGTGAACCCCCTCTTCCTAATGGAAAGGTTGAAAGGACACGTAGCATCAGACTATCATTGACGCTTGGAGGGACAGGGAGTTACATGACTTGAAAGTTATCATTATGGATTTTAAATTGCTTAAAAAACAAAGATTAGTGAGATGAAATAAAGTAGTGGAAATTGATCCATAATTAAGAGCTCATTATGAATATAAAACCATGACTAGATGGCTTAACTTATTTTGCCAAATCATCAAAGTGATCACAAGATCTTATTTATTATTGTAAGGTGCATCTCTTGAATTGCATTTTAGAAAAGGTACTTCCATAAAACATTTATTTAAAATCTTCCAAATAATCCCTAGTTAGGGTTGAAATCCTAAACAACAAGAAGGATTTGGATCATTTAATCCAGCTAAGTGGCTCAAATAAAATTACAAAACAACTCATGCTTGTCCATGATTGTGAAATTAAACTGCTATAGACCAAAATATCCAAGTCATTCACGATTAGAAATATGGAGCTAGGGACATTTTCACCATTGAGGGTCCTATACTCCTAATCCTGAACAACCAGGGGGTTTTCATAGTTGTTTAGATTTCAATTTCCCAACAGTAAATTAGAAATTTTGAAAAAAAAAATTAAAAGGAGGTACTTTTGTGAAATAAAATTTAAAAATAAACCTAATAAAATCGTTGGGCTTCAACCTCGTACAAACCACACCCCATCGAGTACAGCCAGCGTCCTATGCAATCTCAACCATTTAATTTGACACATTGTGGATCATCCCTAGGCCACATTATGTACAGATATATTTATCTACACCAGTTTTGCATGTTGCAGGTGAAGATCACAGCAGATAGCTTTGCCCTTCTCGACAGCCAATATTGTCAAATATGCCCGTTGTTTTGGTGATACTTGCATAACAGCCTATGGCCTCACTGCTACAACTTCACTAGCTTTACAACCGTTATAACAGTGAATAACACCATTTTTAAGATGTCATTTAGATGGTCCAATTTTGGAAACCAAGCCCATTTCTGTCCACGAATTCATAACTGGAAAACTAACCAGCTTGGTCTGCACTACCTTTCACCACTTATAAATTAAACAAAAACACTGCTTATACGGCCAATAAAGGAAAAATGCTTTTCCCCACTTATTAATGGAGCAATATTTACTTTTCAGTACAAAAAGGTCAGGAATCATCTCCATCGTCAGATGAGAAAGCTTGCGGTTTTGCCATTAACTATGCTAAAAACCTAAGAAAATTTTCTCAACCTCCAGCAGAGAAATAACACTCCCCTAGCCTCCTGATCACCTTTTTGAACCAAAAAGGCAAGCAATCTTATTGTATACTTTTATATTTCATAAGTAATTCTCTCGACTTTGGAGTTGATCAGCAGTCCAAGCAAGCCCCAAGTTGAAGCATACGTAAGTATGATGTGGGAACCATATGCACTGGAAAACCCGATCCATTGGCTTGCAAAATAGAAAGTCAAACAAAACTAGGAAGGTTTCAATATGAGACCAAAATGTGCATTCCATTTAAATTGCACAAGAATGCCTAGATACGTGCATGCTTGCTTACAAGATGTATACCTCTGTCATATTGCGCTACCAAAACTACATAACATACAAAGAATGATGCCCCGCCTCATTTTGCTTTTTCTACAATGGAAAGACGTAAGGGCTCACCTGTTTGTCTATCTGATTAGTCCATCTATACTGAGTCATTTCAGGTCCTCTTCCATGAAAAAAGAACTCAGTTTAAGTCCTTCAGGTAGCCTTCCAAGACACAAAAAAATACCAGTTCCCATCTTAGCGTGTCATCCACATAAAAAACCCAGCTAACAGAAGCTTCTAAGAACATCCATGAAGAGCTGAGCCGCACCCTTATCAGAGACCAGTGTCTGAATCACTTCTAGGGTTCCAAGGTATTGAAGCCATATGCAAATTACATGGAGAAACCCACCACCCACCACGCACTTAACCAAAAATGCTTCCACTCCAGAAGTGCATCAAAATAAGGGCACCTCTCAACTCTGGGTGGTTAGGGGGTCAGTGTTTCATATATACACAAGATGCACAGATAATGGATAAATGATTCATGCGTGTCTCTTGAGGGTCTGAAAGCATATTTGCAAATTTCCTTCTATTCGTTTCCATCCCAACTGAGATGAAAACCACAGCCACAAGGTATAGCTGCAACAATCCCCTCCCATTAAAAGTATAGCTCAGAGCCATCACCAAAAGCACAAAAAGCTGATACCAATTTCACAGAATCATACGAAACTGACATACGATTAGTCTATGGCTGTTTCATCCAGGTTAAAGGGCTCTCTCTTTTGAGTGATGACCTCGAAAACTGGAGCGACAAGATAAATCACCAATATGTTTGTTCAGGTTGGAGCTTCGCCCGAACAGGAAGTAAAGGGCAGAATCGGTCTTCTCACTCATAAATCAGAGCCAAGATTCACAAGGAAAGCTAATATGACTCGTGCACTCTGCCCTAATTACAAGCTCCCCAAAGGGGGGAAAAAACAAATATGAGCTAAGCCAATTAATGTCGTTCAACCATCTGGATCTTTTCGCTTCTTGCTGGACTTGCAGGGCTTAGGGTTTTCACTTGGGTCAGGAGGGAGCCTCTGGTATATGATGGAAGCATCCAGTGAATATATTCGAAGAGCAAGAGACGAGATGGTGGATGTCTTTGCTGCAGCCGAAAGGGATGACCAATACCACCAACCACTTCTCAAGTGCTCCGTCTTGATCATGTCTTCTAGAATGATTGTAGCTTGGATCATCTGTGAAGAAGGCAATCAATTCAAAATCAAACTACATGGTCAAGCAAAAACATCAAGTCGTGGAGATCATTATCGTTAAGGTCCCATACTTTCCAGGTTTATGAAGTTCTCAGTAATACAGTAGAGGCCATACAAGTAGAGAAAAAAAGGTACAAAGAGAGAAAATACACAGGAGAGTAATAAATAAACACCTAGAAAAGAGAGAGAGAAAGAGAGAGAGAAGGGAAGGGAGAGTGGTCAATACACTATTCCTGAAAGGTTACTTTTCCTTTGGAAAATTAAACAACAAAGTCTACTATATTAGCACCCCAACAACATCCATTACAACACAAATTCTACTCAGAAGCAACATTTGCAGATAGAGAACTACATGTTTTTGGGCCCAAAGCCAAGACAAAAGACATGGCTTTCAAAGCAACAAGGAGACTTCACTTGGAACAAAAGCATCAGGAAGCTTTCTGTGAGTAAATAAGAATATACTCACATGGGTCTCATCTATAATTAATACGAAAGTTGAAACTTCAAATGCCCAAACAGTCTAAAATGAATTTCAATAAAAAGATGGAGAAACATGAGTCCTAATATTTGCCCGCTGATCGCCAATCTGAATGTGGTATTTGGTCAGGACTGAACTGGTTCCGGAATGGTATGGCTCCCGGACCGGCTCCCCCATAAAACACCCCCCTTTCATTTTCTTTTTTCTTTTTTCATTAAGCTTATCTAGTGTTGTCCTTGGTTCCTTCCTAAATTCCCACCCAATAAACCCCAATTTTAATTTTTAGTTTATTTTTTTTATTTTTTTCGGGATCACCAATTTGGATGATCCAAAAACAATCCAGATCGCCAATCCAGCTGATCTGGATCGGAATCAGGGTTGGACGATCCATCCCACTGATTCGTTTCTTTTATGAACACTGGATGAAACCTAGTGTAGTGAAGTGGGTCAATAGAGAACATGGCTCACCAAATCTAGGACTCCCAACAAACAATTACGGATATATAAAGTGTAGTTATTCCATTTTATTGCCAAAGGTTACTTACACTCAAAATGTATGGCATACTGTTGGCTTCCCAATCTACAGCAGAGAAACACTAGATTAAGAGACCATGACCACCACTGCAAAAAAGTCCTCTATCCAAAATTTTCATGTTTTCATGGAGCCAGCAAAATATAAATTGTTTTCTTTCAACTATTGCAGGAACAGGCTATCTCTATTTTCCTGAATCTCTGTCATAGCAAACAAGTTTATACACCAATCAGGTAGTGCTTGCTGAAGACAAAAAGAAAAATCAGTTCATCTAAGTCGATCCTTAAGTGTCTAGGATTATTTTGAACAATATAGTCAATTCGTTAAAGTGACCTAAGGCTAAACAATAGACTTAATTCGTTACAGGGACCTAAGGCTAAATAGGTATTATGCTGTATGAATTTAAACCATGTAACCATAAACATCAGCTGGATACAGAGCATATTTCCATTATCAGTACATTACTGACCAGCACCAACTGCCAAACATGCAACTGACAGTTGCAGAAGACTCAAAAAACATGCACAATCAAGGGCAGGGTAGCCTCACCATGAAACCCAGAAAGTGCCCGGCTCACGTTCCTACATCGTCTTTAGGGGTGGCAACAGGTTAGATCAGGTCCGGGTCAAACCTGAACCGGAAAGTCAACACTTGGACCCGGACCCGGGTCATTTGGACTCGGACTTGAGCCGGGCCCGAGTTCAGAAATAAAAAAACAATAAGAAATTATTTTATATATTTAAGACATACATATTTCCTATATTTTATAGGGGTTGGTCAACCCCAACCCAACCCGATAGGGTCCAAGCCAGACCCAACCTGGGTGTCAGGTTCAACTACGTCTCATTTGGACCTGGACCAGCCTGGTCCAAACATGGACCAAGACCCGGTTCGGGTCAACCCCCCTGTCGGTGGGTCAATTGCTACCCCTGTCCATATTTATATCTATTACATATCAAGTGTGAAGAGAACCCTTCTTATTTTCGCAACAAGTGTCCTCTTCTCTTCCTCTTTTATCCTTTTATTTTTTAAGTAATCATGCTTCATCCTTAGTTATTTACTTTAATGACCCTCTCTCTTATTTAATACGATGACTCTCTCCAATTTTAATTTTTACAAATATAACACAATGTAGTCTCAAAATAGTTCTATTTCTTAAGATCACATTGTTTTAGTTCTAGTTCACATTAGAAATTGTAAACTTTATCAGTGTAGTCTTAATTTCTAGCATGATCCCAAAGGTTGGGAGAGAGATTCTCAAAAGGTTGAGATCAAGATACCTAAAAGGTTCGGATAGAATCCCTACATTATGCATTGTAAAGAGTATGCATTGTAAAGAGGACACTCCCAACCATAGGGATCTTCTAGGCTTTCATAATCCCCCACTTCCGATCCCTAAATCACTCTCAATCCTGCTCCCAACACAAACAATTGTGTGACAGACTGGTAGATCAAGAGCAATTGCGTGATATATGAGACTCAAATAATAATAAAATTTGAGTGAGGAGCCTTCCTCCTATAGAAATCATTTAAGTTCAAACCAATAGAGTAAATTAAAAACATAGAACAAATTCTCAGAAAAGTAATTCCATGTAATTTTCATAACAATTTCAAGAAGCTAAGCATCCATTGGACAGATGTCGTGACTCATTGGAGAAAATGGCTCAAATGAAATGCAATGAACCAATCAGGGTACTACTGGAATCTTTTTTTGAATGATGGCAATACTGGAATTAGTTAGAGTGGCGACAAAAATAGAACTTCAAAGCTCAGAATGTGTAATAAATGAAAACTAATCACAATGCCAATGGCAATCAGTTCATTCAATCTAATTTTTAATAGTTACTGAAATATTCTTTATCTTTTGTGGAGGTGTATGCATATTTCTCAAAATATGAAGCTTTTATACATGGAAAAAATAAGGTAAATAGAATTTTAAACAGATAAGTATACAAAGAGACCATTCACTTTTAATACAAGGAGGTCAAACTAATTCTTGTCCATCAGATTTCAAATTAGGTGGTTGTATGTTACTGACTAGACTCAAAGTTGACAACAAAAATTTCTCGAACTACTAGTAACTTTCACCTCCTTATAACAACGATAAATGGTCTCATAACATACAATACCTTTTAAATATGATAAGAGAAGAAGCAAATCCCACCTCATATATCGATTCTGAAGTTTTGACAAAAGAACGCCAGGCACACCGTCTCAATAAGTGTCCTCTTGATGGCTTTAGTGCCTCCTCTGGCAAGGCAGCATCCATATCAAGTAGGTTTATCTTGAGCCTTCTAAGAATCTGTGAAACCCTTCCCAGCATAGGCTTCAATGAAGAGTCAGGAACAGTAAACTTGTCAATTTGTACCAAGTTCGGGAAACTTGGAGCAACCTCTCCCTGGCAAGAAATATCAATTGAGTTCCCTTGAATTTTTGATGACCCCTCATTAACTGCACAGCTGAGAGGTGAATCTGAGGTACCCGGACTGGTTTCAACTGAAACACCAGTATGAGAGGCAGTAGCAATTTCTCCAGGTAAACCAAACAACGGTTCTTCAGAAATACAAATTCCATCTTCTTGAATATAAGATGGACCTGGTACAAGTGGTGGAACACCTTTTGAACCAATTAGACCAATTTCTTGCACCAATTCCCTGTTGGAATTTTTTGTGATGAACTTCCTGCTTATCTCTTCAAGGCTATAAGGACACTGTGACCCACTCTTATGATGGTTAAGCAAATTAGAGCTAAGTATCACTTTTCCACCTTTTGATGCCTCAGAAACATCTGCTTCATCATTTCCATTATTTTGCCGGGTAGATTCATGCCCGGTCCTCTTCGCTTTACATGGATCATCATTTTCCTTGCTTTCATCCGGAACAGGCACACTGGAATTGCAGCGCCCATCATCATGCCCCTCAAGTTCCAAATGAGTGCAAAATGTTTTGTGGCAAGAGTGGCAATGGCTTCGAGAAGGCCATATGGGTTCCAAGCACTCACACCGATACATCTTCTCCTCAAAATTTCCTTTTGACTTCCTTCCACGTTTTTTTGGAATATCTTGCTGCTCTGATTCCAAACATGGCCCATATTTTTTCTCCAAGATAATAGAAGCTCGTGTCAGTAACAAATGAGGAGCAATATTTTTTTCATTGTTTTTAAAGCACTTTGATGTTGTCATTTTGGAACTACTAGGAATTATATTCACGGGTGGCAAAGGGCGAAGCTTTTGCCACTGCAAGATGCATTCCTTCAAATCTCCATCACTTGGATAAGAAGTCCCCAACCAATCAATCAGACTCTGAATTTCTGATTCAGATTCATAGCAAACAAAAGGAAAATGAGGAACAAATGTAACATACTTTTGATATGAGTTACATCCAAGGGAATCACATGAGTAATTCCTCAGTTTTGATTGAGAGGGCAAATGTTTCTGGGGATACATCTCTTCACTAGAAAGAACAGAAAAATTCATAGGTAAACCATTTGAAGGGTTTGAAGAGGGCTCATAGCCCACATCAGGTCTCTTTCTCTTTCCTTGCAGCTCCATACTTCCATCAACAACCAATCGTGGAGATCTGTAAGGTCGCCCTAAAGCCCAGTACAACCGACCAATAGAATCCCTGCCCAAAAACTCCTTTCTTAGAGACATTTTTGAGCACTCTGACTCTACACTGGCAATTGTTTCCTGCAAAACCAGGAGGTCATGCTTTATAGGGTTCACTGGACTGGGCACAAGATTAACATCCATTCGAACATTTGAGGCATCCTCATGAACTTGTGACAGTGTTTCTAACATACCATTTGCTAACGGAACTGATTTCACAGATGCAGAATCAATGCCTTCAGCTGGAGTATGATCTGCTAGCTGTGACCTTCTAATCTCTGAAGAAAAACACGACATTTCTGGAACACCAACCATGTTTGGATGTATAGAATCATTCATAGGGGCATTTAAACCGATGACCTTGTCTATACTGCTCTGAACACTTCTTGGGGGATCTGATATTCCAGTAAATCTGACTACCCCGTGTCCCACATTGTAAACATTAATTCCTCCACCATTTGACAGCTCCAAGAGATCACAAGTGTGAGGGCCGTTTCCATCATAATTCGTATCAGCCATGTTGCTCAAGTATGGTGAACCAGTATCTGTAAACCCACTCTCTCTCTGGATACCCTCAGAATTAGGAGGAATTCCTTGCTGAGAATTCCCTAAAAGTGAGAAATCAAAGGCAGGTCCATTTACATATACTTGGTTATGTCCTGCCAATCTACTATTATTCCCAAGAAGAGAACCCTGTGCTTCCTCCTGAAATGCATCACAATTGAGTCTACCAGTGTATTTCTGTGAAGATTTCATCAGCATTTCCTCTCTGTATTTTAGGTTTCTCCATTCTACAGCATGGGAGCGTAATTTCTGCTGCATATCGACAGATATATCAGCACATTGGTCAAGGTGTTCACGAATGACTGTAGAATTCAACACTTCATCACACAAGAACTTCAGCAGGAATATGCGCTGCATCAAAAGCCATACAAGTTAGATTATATCTTAATCTGTTTGAAGAGTGATACACATCTTAAATAAATATGAGGAACAGCGTACTTTTGCTGAAACATTGCAGGAGACCAGAAAACTAGTGTAAATGGCCCAAATATTCACCTTTAAGGCAAATTTTCTTATATCAATATGGCAATACCATTACGTTTGCATTTTTCGCCAACCAAACAATCATACACTCAATGGCAATTAAAAAACAACATGAGCTAAGAGAGAAAAATTTTCCTTTGCTGTAGAGACAACAAACGATGTCAAATATATGGGTGATATATAATTTTTCTTGATTAAATGGGTGATATATACTAACAAACCATTATCTTCAACAGTAGCAATCTGGTCTGAAAACCATAGATCACCATGAGAATAAACGAATATATTTCCAATTTATAAATTGCGAACACATTCCTATGTTAAATAGTTCATAGTTCACAGACCTAACCTGCTTAAAAAGATTCGACACAACATACAAAGGACAAACAGAATCTAACAGAAGACCCAACTAATAATTAAACTGGTAAACATGAAATATGAATCTATATTATACAAACTCTAGTTGGGAAAGAGAAATAAAGTGGGTGAGGGCATGTCACAGGGAAATTGGGGTTACACTTCGAAGATTGGATTTAACTTCCTGTGTCTGCAGGATGACAGCCTAGACAACTTTTTCTTTTTCTGATGAAATGACTACCTTGACAAGTAGAGATAATATTTAACAGTAGACAACCATAACTGGATGCAACCCAAAAATGAGAACTCAGAAGGTTAGCAAGATGTGAAGGAAACACAAACAAATGTTATCCATTAACAACCACCACCTTTTTGCACTATTGAATTTCATATACATCATTTCATCATTTCAGGTATCCAAAAAGAGGGAGCCAGAACACCCAACTTACCTTGTTCAGTATAGTTTGTGTAAAATTCCCAAAATTCTCCTTTGTTTCATATTTGTTTCCAGCTCTTGAAATTGACAATGCTTTGGATGAATTTCAACACATATTCTAACCAGATAAACTTAAAATTTTCGAGTCTTGAAACACAAATGTCAAGCCCTTCTCTGATATAACCTATTTCTTTGCAACTATACTTTGACAGTCTTTCCCACAAAAAAATAGATACATGAAGAAAAAATAAGATATGGCTATAACTTTGGTACATAAGACGAATGTCTATATGTAGTCTATAAAATGACATATTATCATGTCTAATACATATACTATTTAATGCATATAAAAGAATCCTAGATCTAGAGAATTTAGGTTTTATAAGGGAAGCAGATAGGTCTAGGATACAACACAGCCATACACAATATGACATCGGAGAGTCGAGTATGGTTGGTCTCAGTATCTGATAATTGAAGTCAACTCAAGCAGGTCACGTGCAGTCAAACAAAAACAATGCTTCACTATAACATTACACAAATTATTTTAGTTCATAAATCATCAGTATGCCATTCTTCAGTCTTTTTAATTGAATTAGAAACTTGATAAGTTAAATTACTGGATGTAACTTGACATCAAAGCAATGTTCACATTATTAATTTTAAAAGTTTTTATTTTCAAGTACTCTTTTTTTAAAAAGAAATGTTTACTGGTATTAAGAGCTAGGAATGAGTATATTTCAAGTACTCTTTTATTGATTGCACTAGTTGGATTGAGACCAAAAGGTGCAGATAGAGAAATCAACTCCAGATCAAAACAGACGTGACTAGTAGACAGGTACAGTAGATATCGTGTCAAATAAATCCTTTACCACACAATGCCCACGCACAAACCTTGTCTATGTCAAATTCCCAGTACTCTTTGTCTCTCATTGTGACTGCCAATTCATTCAATGCCTCTGAATAAGAACGGGCCTCCTCACTCTGAAACCTTCGCTTTAGTGGATACCCAAGTGACACTTGAGCAATTGACGCCATTTCTCGAGTATTTGATTGACCCGCAACACATGAAGGGCAGTACCAATTTCCATCTGGAATCTTGGCAAGTGGAGGATTCAAGCAATAAGTATGATACTCCGAATCACAACTGTCACATAATAACACACTATCATCATCCCTATCAATGCCACAAACTTTGCAAACACCCTCTTCCCAAGGAGCTTTAGTGATTTCACTCCCATGAGCACAAGAATCATCGTCTCTAACTTCAGCACCATTCAAACCACCAGCATCAGCCCCACTAACAATTTTCTTGACGAGGCTGACAACCTGCATCCAGAATGCATTATGGTAAAGGCAAACGCTACACAACTACATAAATAAATTAAAAACAGAAAGGAACATGAAGAGTCACAACAGAGCAACACAAACATATAAAGTCAAAATATATTATGAATGGCAAGAAACACAATCAGGTGTCTGAACATGTTACAGAGATTGAAAGGTACATCTTGGCTCATCATAAATAACAGAAAGTGGATTTAAGAATGGCAAGAAAAACCGATGTAACAAAACAGATGAAAACGATGTGATATCCACTAGGCTTAAGTTTAGGCATGGTGTAGATTTAGGCACCGGTCAAAACTATTCAATAGCCTAAGGCCTTTGACTCAGGTAAGCATTAAGAATTTCTCCCAGCATCCCAATATAAGACGGATTTATCAATATTGGCAGCATTAGCATCAGCTTAAACATCGCCAAATGATTAAAGTGCTATTGGCCCATGCAAATGGTCAAAGTTCATAAACTTGTCTGTTTGCTAAAGAGAAACCAAAATGACTGGAGGTTCAACTTATTGGGAGATACATTCACAAGATGCAGCAAGTCATACACACAGAAAAACTAAACAGGGGATGATAATGATGATCAAAGGAAATTTAGTCACTCAGAAAACCATGCATGGAAATATGTCAGATCCGCAAAATTAATCACACCAGCATCACACACATTTCATATGACCCAACATCGAGGATCAGCTGCAATCATCAAGAACTCATGAATGCAACTCCCAGGATCAGTTTCAAAAAAGGCAACAAAAAGCTCAAAAGTTTTGCATCTCTGACTAACATGCAAGAAGTAAAATGAGGTTACAAGAATGGAAAAAGAGACGCATGTTAGCCTGGCCTACGGCGTGCAACGCCTAGGAGGGTGCCCAAAACCTCAAGTGCCCTGAGGTGAAAGATTTTTAGAAATATACACATCTGCAATCCAAATGCACATATATGATATCTGTGTCCATTTCTTATTCTTTTGCATTTATATATATTCTAATTAACTATTTTATGCAAATATACATGCATGAACATTGAAACATGTTGAAAACCTCAAATCAATAAACAAGTTCATAGTGTATTAGTCTCCAACTCTCTGTACTCCATAATGGAGTACAATCATATCACACATAAACCTCACATCTCCAATACGACCAATACAAAATGACACAATATAAAAGAAAAATACAAAAGAAAAGAAAGAGGAGATAATTGTTTATCTTTTTCACCAAACAGTCTTCCAATACCCTCGCTATCACTCTTAAGAAAAATTCAAATAAGATTGGTAAGCTTTTGGATGATTATTCAAACTTAAATTTTCTCAATTCGAAAAAATTTCCAAAAATAACAATTTTTGGGTGTTTTTTAGTTAGGATTGAATTATTTTTCCCTTGGGGGTTTAGATAACCCCTAATAAGCCTTTTTTTGCCGTTTGATGGGTTAAAAAGACCCAAAATGCCCTTCACGGACAACCTTTTTCCGCCAAAATAAGGCCCAATTACTGGGCACCTGCCTAGACATCCTGGGCAGGTGTCCACGAACTGGCGCTCGTACATGCCTGCCCAGGCCTAGGCAGGCAGCCTAAGGCCCCTGGGCACCTAAGCACCTGCTCAAGCACTAGGAAGGCGATTTTTTTAAACAATTAGAAGCATGGTAGAGGTTACCTCTGTATTCTAATTAGATACTATACCTAGCATACCTATATTTTATAAAAAAAGCGCAGATAATTGTTTCTTACAGAACTCCAAGAAAGGGACTCAAAGAAACCATAATGGTAATGCAAGACCTCACTATAGCGACACTTCCAAACAAATGCAAAGAATTCACACCGAGGTTGACAAGAGTGTGGATAAAATTTTTGTTACAAGATCAAAAGGAAAAAGGGTTGACTTGTAAGACAGTAAACAGCTTAAGCTTCAAAACTGTGTCAGAATTCACAAGACTTCAACAAGATATTCCTGGATCGCTTCCAAAATTTTAGCAAAACTAGGACTAGAGTCCATAAAACAATCTTAATTAAGAAGCCCAGACTGAACTGTGAAGAAACCTCCCAAAGAGACAATTGACTGAAATGCATTTACCTTGAGGGTATCTAGAAATATGGAGAATCAAATATACAATGTGGAATCTATTCCTAAATGATCAGTGCATGGGGTTACGGACTTGTATCATAAATCATCAGTGATGTCCTTCACTAACCTACTCCAAATTGTGGGACCTAAAAGACCCAGTCTACTAGTGCCAATCATTTTCATGCAGGAGTGTTTTTCATCATTTGCCAAGGGCATTTCCTTTTCCCTCATTAACAGTTGCTCACATAAAGGGAGTGAGCATAGCAGTATTCATCAATACAGAGGTGGGGCTTCCTTACCAGGTCAAGAGTTAAAGGCTTCTGCATAACTGGCCTCTAATTACAAAATAAAACGTAAAACTGAATAAGAAGGAAATAAAATAAAATTGGTGTACCTCTTTTTCATACAATGACTCGAAATTTTGGGAGAGTGATTCAACCAATTGCATGAGCTGAGAACGGTCACCATAAACAGTGGCTATGTTATGCCAAACCTGCCAACAAAACTAACAATTAATATTTAATGATGCCTAGTGGGCAGGCAATAATAAAGGGGAACATAAGTTCTAGAATCAAGAGAAAAACATATATGCTTCAGAAGAAATAATTTATGAAAAAAATTACAAAGCCAAACATCTGACTGATCCTCCAAGCAAAAGTAAAAATGAGAACAAAATAAAAGAAAATTTTAAAGCAACCAGCACAAAGACTCAAATTCGGTATGACAGAAATTACATAAGTAGCTCCCCACTTGCCACAGCTAGCATATTTTTCTCTACTTAATGCAATATCATTATATCATAAAAAAGGAAGAGACTGTTATCCACCTCTACAAAGAACCATGAGCATTTCTTAGACTAAAGAAAATTCAGGTTATTTTTCTCTACTTAATGCAATATCATTATACCATAAGAAAGGAAGAAAACACTATCAGTATAATGTATCCACCTCTACAAAGAACCCTGTGCATTTCTTAGACTAAAGAAAATTCAATTTCCTCCAATTGATATCTACCAATGAAAAGATCGCTATTGAAACTCTAAGCAATTTAATTCAATAAGAAATGACAATAATAATAAAAGATGAATTATCTTACGAACATAAATATGCAAAGCAGTAAGCAATCTGCAATTCCAGGAAGCATGCAGATTCAACAACCACCATACACAGATTTAGAAATTGATGCTTACAAGGGCTATCAATCTGGAGCAAGATACAGGCTATTCAAATTTACCCAGCATCTTCCTCATTCAGAATTTCGAATTTGCGTATTGAATTTAGTTGAGAATTGAGGACAGAACCTCTTTTTTGTCCTTTGTTTCTTATTTTTGAAGACTGAGAACAGTAACCAGTTTAACTAAAGGACTTACGTTGCACCATGCCCAACACCAACAAAGAACCTAGTCCAAAATATCTCACAGCTCCCAGAGAAAAAAAAGAGACCCCAAGCCTCAAGAGATCACAATTCGAAACCGAAGGGTCAACCCAGGTCTCATCCTAGTAAACCAGACAACCTCAATTCCTGCGCCAGGTTTTGAGAATAATCCAGCCATATTGGCCTTGTCCAATTGACCCCATTGAGTCAGACCAGGACTCACCTGACTGAGCCAGTCAAAGGCAGTCGAACAAGTCACAGCACATTACAGTACATAGCTAGAATTTTCCTTATTTCAACTTTTCTTTTTTTGAAGCTCTTTGTTTACTTTGTCATTAGTTTGCTCACATGAAGACCCCATGCACCTAATTTCCCATTTTCCCCTAGATTTCTTTTCTTTTCTTTTATTTCAAGGTTTTATTTTTTAATGTATTTTCTTAAAATGTTTATGCAAAGTGGCCTCCCAATTGACTTCCGAACTGTCAGATCAATGCATACCAACAACCAAGACTAAGTCTGAATCCCCGTATGAATTTTCAAGCAAGGCAAGGGCAAACAATGCCTTTAGCTACTCAATCAAGTTGAATTCAACTCCTACTCTAAATATTCCTTTTCACTTCCACATTCCTCTTCTGCTGTGCAAGCCTTTATTTGTGCGCATTTATGTGTAAAACTCAGTGCATACTTCTCCTCACGAACTTATGGTCACATATAAGAAAAAGGAAACCCTGTGGAAACCATATAAAGGAACTTGCCATGTGAGGAGAATACAGTCCTACAAATAAAAGCCAAATTTATTAAACAATCAAGTAAAATATCCACAATGTGGAGCATATCGTAGATCGCAAGAAGAGTTACACAATTACAACAGTGGCACATTATCAAAGAATATTCTGCAACAAGAGTGCGTTTGTGTGTGTTTATAGACAATGTCATGCTCAACAATCTCAATTTTACTCATCTGGAAACAAATAAAAACAAGTGAAGGAGCACATGCCTCCCTAACATCTGCAAGAAATGCCTCATGGGAATAACCATAGGCACCTACAGCCAATCTTAAGTCAATGGTTCGGAAATCCAGAGGCCGAGACACCATAGCAGGAGGACCAAGGATGCCCTCTTCCCCATTGTCATTCCCATTTAGAAGTGTTGTCCCCAGTAAATTGCAGAAAGTCTTCTTTTCATCTGCAGCAACTGCAAGGCGTAGAACAATCCGGCATTTTTTCATAATCATCTCATATACAGAGGGCAATGGCCTTTCCTTCTTTTCCATATACCGTTTAGGGCGCACCCCTTCACCATACACCTCCTCCAGAACAGAGAGAACAGCTTTCTGCATTCAACCAACAAGATATCATAGCTTAAAGCAAAAGAGGTATAATTCTATGAATAAATAACTGCTACATACACAAAAATAACATGAAGAGCACGTATACTCCCCCAGTCAAAATACCTACTTGGGAGGATATTTTCAGTCTGAAATTTTGAGAACAACATAAGAATCACTAGATGATTATTTTCAATATAAAAAAAAATCAAATTTTGAGTTTTATGACATTTATATCTCGCCCTTCAAAGATTGAACAGTCTCTATTCAATCCTGAGACATTTTTTTTCCAGGACATAGAGAGCTCAATTCGGAAATTTTTCTTAGTGAGGTTAGTCTACAGGTTGAAGAGGTTACATCCCCATGGGGTACTAAAACTACTATATTGAGTTTTATCCGGGGGACTAAATGCACAGTGTACTCTGTGGGAGTATAAAATATTTTGGGTAACATGAATGACCAGATTGGGAACCATGTGTTAAATCCAGCAGACAAGACATCAGAAGGATCAAATGACACCTGAACACCAGAACTCACTAACCGAATGCATGCCCAATCCAAGAAAGGGCCAATGAAGTGCTTTTTGAGAAAGTCAACAAAGGGCCAATGAAGCATTAATGTGCATGAACATGAAAAACCTTGTAATATTTTAAGGCCTTAAATTTGTCCTGGAAAAAATACAAGTAAAAAAAGTGAAAAACAAGGTAAAATATCAGCTGGTATCCAAGAATGTGTTATTTTCGTCATATTCACATGCTTTTTTTTAGAATAATAACATAATA